ACCAAGAAAGATGGAGTGCAAATATATGCAAACAAAAGGTCAATGTATGCAAATGAGGGAGCAAACTGGGGGTGAGGGCCTTCTCTCCCAGGGTACCTGTGCATAAGACTCCAGCGAAGACCCAGCACTGGCCGTACTTGACTGGCTTGGACCTGCCCTTGAACCACTTCTGCAGGGTGGCCACGCTGCCACGCCAGTGCAGTGGGCTGGTGCCACCACCGTATTTGCCCTGCCACTGGCCTTGCACCACACCCCGGTCATCATTGCTGTTCACCTGGGCAGAGGAGAACATAGGTCAACCAGAAGGCAGGACTTCCCACTTGTGGAGCTCATTACCAACTCTGGACTACCAAGTCAACTGGGGTCCCTCCTCACTTTTAAATTGAAATTGAAGGCACTTGCTATCTTAAAATACTTACTGCTAAAGTTCTCCATTGAAAATTATGTGGTAATATCCTTTATTTGACCGTCATGTACTGTATCATACTTAGAAAAATCATAATGTGGGGTGGCGTGGTGGTTGAGGGTGCTGGATTCACACATGGCTGACTGTAGTTCAAGTCCTGGACCTGGTGGCTTGCCCTCACGTTCTCTCTTTCTCTCTATCCCTCTCTGGTCAAATTAAAATAAATAATAAATAAATAAAGTTAAATAACATAATTCTTAAAAAAAAAACAAAAAGAAAAATCATATTGTGTGCTACAGAGATATACAACAATTAAGTGTGAATAGGATATCATAAAATTTTTTAAAAAGGAAAAAAGGCCTTACTGTTTGTTACTATTATTATTTTCAATTATCTTCCACTTGGGCACACTGCTGTTGAAAATAACTTATAATTTTACATCATTTCCTGTTTTAAATGATCTGGGTTTGAGTAGTATAGTAATTATAGAGAAAACTGACATTTGTTAAATGCTTGCTATGTGTCAGGCTTCTTCTAAGGACTCTGAGCACTTAAGTTAACGTGTTTAAGTCTGTGATGTAGGTTCTATTTGTCACCTTTTTTTTTTTTTTTCCCCAGATGAGAAAACTGAGATTCAGAGGTGTTCAAGGACTGGCCCAAATCACACAGCGAGTTAGAAAACCGAGTGCCGTGAGTTTGGACTGAGACTTGAGAGCCCGGGCTGTCGTCCACGGGCCACCCTTCCCCGCTGTTCAGCACTGCTGATTTTCTCCAAGGTCTCATGGAGGGCTTAAGGAATTGGGAGCATCAAATATGGCAAATAGAGCTTTGTCCATTTGGGGAATCTCAGGGCCCCACCCACTGACCTTCACATGTGCAGGTGGTGAGGAGAACCAGGAGGCTCTCAGACACCTTTGGAAGAGGAGACACCATGGCCTGAGGCATGCGATAGACTAAAGGTGGCACACTTCCCATGGAGAGGTGAGGTCAGTGTCCCCTCCCCTTGAGTCTGGCTAGCCTATGCCTACTTTGACCACCGACTGTCATAGGACTTACGTGGTGTCAGTTTCTAGGCATTATAAGCTTGGGAACTTCCACTTGCTCTTTCTTGGAACTATGACACAGGGAGAAGCCAGCAGCCACAGATGAGGCTGGAATGCTATGAGGAAGCCAAGCTAGCCACGTGGAAAGGCTACATAAAGAGAAAAAAATGGATGCCAACAGTCCCAGCTATTCTAGCCATCGCAGTCCAGGGGCCTGACGAGAGTGAGGAAGCCTTCTGGGCTCCCCAGACTTGGCAGACACAACACGGACATCATTTGCAATGATCTTCCACTGGGATACTCAGCATAGGTTAAGGGTTCCTAACCAAGGAACTGCCAACCCCTAGAACCAGAGCTCCTGACAGATGGTCCCACCAATGCTCCCCCTCACATCCGCAGCCGTTGAGACACTCTTGGCTCAAGTATCTAGGAGCACAGACAAGCCATTCTCATGGTGCCTGCCCAAATTACTAATCTGCAAAATCGTAAGCATAATAAATGGCTATTTTGTGTCACTGAGTTTTGGGGTGGTTTGTTACACAGCAATAGAGAATTAAGACAGGGGGTAACTTGGGAAGAATCATGGGGTGCTGGCCTGGGATCTTTGGGAGAGTGTATATGAAAGCTGGCAGAGGTCCTCACCATGGCACTGATGATCCTGGTGACATAGATGGGGTCATGGCGGCAGGACACATCAGTGGCTGGGCTGTCTTGGTGGCTGGGGCTTCGGTCCAAGATGGAGAGGCAGATGTTCAGGATGTCCTCTTCAAACTGCTCCCCAGAAATGCTGTGCTTAGAGGCCAAACTTCACCATATTCCAGGCCCTTCCTCAACCCATACCCGCTCAAGCGCATGTGTCTATGCAGGGGGATTTTCCCTACTCCTACCCCCAGGGACCTCCAGAGCATCTCCAAGTCTCAGAAACCCTTTGCCAAAGGTTCACCTGGGAGCCAGAAGTTCAACTTTAATCCTGCTCCTCCCCAGTCTAATAACCTTCTATGGCTCCCCAGTATCTACAGTAACGTTTGTGGTAACACTGGGCCCTCTGGAGCCACATCCTCTTCACTGATATACTTATTTGGTATACATGATGTTTTCAGATACATTTGAATTAGCTGACAATATTTTAAAATTGGGGGATTTTTACATTTATATTTATATTCATTTATATTTCTGGTTCCCATATTTGGACAGTAGAAGAACCCCAGGCTTACTTTCCTGGTGGCAAGTAAGCCTTGAATGCTTTCAACCTCCCCCCTGCATGACAATACAGGACGCCTCAGCAGGACACTCAAGTCCTTGACTTGCCTGTCCAGCATCCCTCCTAGCAGGCACCAGGAGCCTAGGCAGACACAGGGACCCGCCATCATGCTACTGTCTGCTCTTCCCTCTGCTTATCCAGATCCTGCTCAACTCTGGACCCCACCCCAATAGCATGAAACCTTCCACAACCCCTGAGGTGGAGTTTTCTTTCGCCCCCTTCTGGACACCCTTGGCTTCCACCCTTACCATTCTGACTTCTCTGCCCCCAATGCACCAGCTACAGTGTAGCTATTTCTCCAAGCCCGTGGCTCCCAAGGTGTGGGCCCAGAGCATCAACCTCCGCTTGCCCTGGGCACCTGTTAGAAATGCATATCCCCAGGCCCTACCCTAACCTGCTCAGGCCACTCTGGGATGGGGCGGCCATCTGTGGGATTCTGATCATGCTCAAGTTTGAGAGAGACTGAGAGGAACTATTTACCCTCCCACCCAGATCCGACTTGTTCTGTTTCCAGGCTGTATCCAGCAAACACCTCCCCTGCCCAAGGACCCAGAGCAGGCCCTGGCACTGTGCATAGGAGGCGAATGAATGAATGAATTTGCTCTAAGAGTCAGCCCTGCTTGTTTCTCCCGGGAAGAAGTGAGTGGACAGAAGAGCTCCTGAGCAGCCTTTTCCACGCCCCAGCCTGCACCCCCAACTGGCCTGGGCCCCTGGAGACCTGCCCGTAGTTCCAGCCCTGGGCTCGGATGCGCTTCTCCACGCCTCGGAAGATGATGCCACTGTCATTGAGCACGTACTCCTGTCTCTCCTCCTCTGAAGCCAGAAACACGTCGTCCTCTGAAAAGCAGTCATTGGGCCTGGCGTGGGCTGGGGCTCTGGCCTTGTGGGCCTGGGTAGGGGGCTGAACAGGGGCCAGCAGGAAGGAGGTGCCTGGAGGCTGATGGGGCAGGTGAGCGCAAGAGGGCTTCCAGCAAGGGCGGCTCCTATGCTGCCTCCCTGCCAAGCCCAGTAGGCAGATACTTCGAGCAGGGGCTAACTCTGACTCAGTCCAAGACTGAAGGATTTTAGGAGTCCTGACACCTCTGGGTGATGATGCTAATAGCAGCCGCCTGACCCCAGCTACCCCTTACTGAGGCCTCATAGTGTATCTTGTGCTTTAAAACACCAGCTCTGAATTTTCACCATATCCCTAACAGGGAGGCACTGTTGTTCTTCCCATATTGCAGATGAAGAAACCTTAGCAGGTCTGCAACCTCGCAGAGCTGGAACTAAACCTGATTCCCAAAGGCTGTCTGACTCCCAAACCTTGGCTCTGATCTACTCCTGGGTCTCTCCTGCCCATCAGGCCCTATCCTGCCCACTGGCCTCTGGTCATACAATCCACCCTTCCTGGCCCTGGTGGCCAGGGCCCTTTGTAGCACCTGCCACCAGATTCCTCTGCCCAGTACCCATCCACCTAGGCCAAGCTCTTGCCTGGCCCTGGCATTCACCTCCCTTCCTGGCATTCACCTCTCTCCCTCTCATTCCCCGCCTCTCAACCCCTCTCCACGGGCTGGCCTGCCTTGGAGGACAGCTTCCAGGAAAACCTCTGCTTGGGACTTGCAGCTCCTACCTGGGCACCATGGGTTGAAAAGGAGAATAAACTCGCCCAGCTTCCGGTCACGGTGTTTGCAGCGAGAAGACACCCTGGTGCTCAGCAGGTAACGACCAATGACAGCGTCGGGAGGGCTGGCAAGGCTGACCGTCACGGTGTTCTCTGTCTGAGTGTCCTTCGCTGCTGTCCAGGTATCGCTCATCTCCAGCTCCGATGTCTGGAAAACAGCTTTGGTGTGGAGGGCCTCGGAAGCTTCTGGTCCTGGGAGGGAGGGGAGGGGATCAGGAGACCCTGCTCCTGGGCAGCCCCGCTTTAGTGAAGATCAATGGTGTTGGTCTGGAAGCCCAGCCGTCACTCCCCAAACTGTTGGGGAGAAGGGCTGACCAAGAACAAGAAGGCCAGTGACAGAGTCGGGTACACTTCAGCTGTCCTGACTTCCGGCCACTTCCTGGACCAAGCAGAAAGTGACATTATGCTCTGAAACCAAAGTCCACCTTTTGTATGGTCAGGGAAGGAAAGGAGCTTGGGTTTGAAAAATGCCCACTGAGTTTCCATACACTTCCAGTGCCATAGGTCCCTGGGTATGCATAGGGCACCAGGGAGGTCTTGGCATTCATCCCACTGCCTACCGACAGCGTCTTCCAACCATCCCCCAGGAAGCTGCAGGGTTCAAGGCTCAGCCTTCCTCAGAGTCTCAGCTGCTGACCCACCACAGGGCTGCCCAGGATAGATCACAAGTCTTTCCAAATCTTACCAGCAGGGGCGCTGCTGAGACCAGTTACCTGTCTCCACCGTGAAGATGAACGTCTCCTCGCTGTCCATGGCTGCACTCAGCTCCAGCGTGAGGCTGAACAATTGGCCCCTGCGAACCACCAGCTCAAGGCAGGGGTACTCCTGGGTGTGGTGGGCAGCGCCATTCCTCGACCTCTGCCAGTCCACTTTGGTGACTCTGATCCCTGAGCAGGTAGAGGACGGAGAGATGAGACTCAGCCCTCAGCATGCGTCCCATCCACATCTGGCTTGTTGTTCCATCTAGTCATTCGTTCATGAGCCAGTGTTTATCGTACTCCATTGATTCTCCCTGTTCTTGATAGTCACTTCCTACACGGTCTCTGTGAACACTGAACTAGTGAAGATGGAACCATTGCCCTTAGGACAGCGTAGCATTAGTTGCTGTGAGCTCCTGGTCACAACATGTTCACCACTTGCTCAATTGCTCAATATATAACCTTGTTTAAAGACACGTTGCTTACTGTTTAATTGCCAGAGGGTGCGTACTCTGGCCAGAGAGAGACAGAGAG